CAAAACGAAAAAAAAAAAAAAAATAGTTAAATCGAACCGATAAACGAGCTCGAGCCTTAACAAGCCGAATTTTGTTAAAAGTTCAAAACGACTACGTAAGAACCCCTATAATTTTCAAGTCTAACTAAATTATCTTTGATTTTGTTTGTCAAACAAGCTGAGTCGAGCCCCAACCCTTACTGAGCCAAGCTCGGCTCGTTAAGTTCAACCTGTAAGTTGAAAGTTCAAAAAACCGTGTAGAAACCTAATCCTAATGAACCTTGACTAAATGAGCTCAAGCTCGGCTTGTTTGATTTCGTTTATCGAACAAGCCGAGCCAAGCCCAAGCCTCAAAGAGCCGAGTTTGGATTTTAGACGTAAGAATCAATCGCACGAGCAGCGGATTTTTCAAATTTTTCTTACCAACAACAAAATTCTGGTTATAGTTATTCGATTTGATCATAGATCTGCGAGAACTTACAGTATAAGTTTTGCCTTCAACTATGGTATCCACGCAACACAGATCCCGGTGCACGATCCTCAGTCAGAAAGCAAGAGAGTTTTTGTGTTTTTACAGTATATCTCAATTATCTGATCTCTTGATCTGATGAAGAGATATCCACCTATTTATAATTAGGCTAAACCTAATTATATGGGCTTTAGGATAACCTATAGCCCAATAGGCAATTGAACCTAATCTAATTAATGATATAATTAAGTCTAATTCCAATTAAACTTAATTATATATTTTCTATCTAATAGAAAATAATCTCATTACTAAAATTAAATATTCCAATCTAATTGAATATTTAACACTCTCGATTTACTCTTAGCTGGAAAATAGATTGCATATTGTGTGACCCTATAGGCCTTCATATATTGACATAAATCTAATTTATGATCCTTAAGAAATTTCTAGACTGCGTCGAAGGACGAACTCAAAATATGAAGTACGTTTACATAGACAAAGCAAACAAATCTTTAGTGTAGAATTCAATAGTGATACGGTCCCTTCATTCACGAACCACTCGATTAAGCTTAGGATTTGAACGTGTGTCTATCCAAACAGCTTAATCATTTTATCTCATCTCACTGGTTGATTTTATCAATTATATTTGAACACCATTTCAAATATAATCACGTGCATTGATCAATGACGTTATCAACCCAGTATAGAGAAAACGAGTGTTCTCTCGAAACTATATTCGAGGAATGAATCATATCTTGGCTCAACTACCAATTTCATGTATATTGTGACCAATCCAACACAAGCCCGTATCTATCCATAAGGGCGTAAGCTTTGGACTAGGTCTAAGTAAATCACTCTATACATGAATTGCGTATTGACCTCAAGTCAAAGGACTATTACACCATTCCACACACCGATACTCCCATAGACACATAAACAAATAGTTAATCGGTAGGGTATGCCAATACTCTCCAAAGTATCCATGTGTCCATCACGAATAACAATTATTCATAGTACTATATTCTCTAAGAATGTGATGCAGACCACATGTCAATCTATCGCGTATCATTAATATCCCTTTCTTAATGATCATCGATTGAGGCGATTTGAGAGTTATACTCTATCAATTAACATCTCACTCTGTTAGTGACAGTATTAACTCAAGGGAGCAATTAATTAATAAATTGCAAACAATCAAATAATTATTTAATTAATTACAATACCATAATTATAATCCAATATAATTATTAATGTGATCATTTATATATGTCCTCAAAAAAATTGTCTCTTAGACACATATACCAACATCGAGCTCATGGGCTACTCATTTCGTTTACCCGCTCCACCTCCACCTAAGATATACACTTCACATTCACAATTAAAAGAATTAAACTAATATTCAAATTTAACTTAATTACACCATAAACACATCCATTTTTCAAAGCTAGCAAACATTTGTCTATCTTCTACAAAATGTGACATAAAAATTAAAACTTAATCTATCCTTTACTACTAGCAATTAATTTTTATCTGAATTAGGTCGATTAAGCTACTAAATTGATAAGATATTTTTACCCAATTAGTCATCCGAAGAAAAGTTTCAGAATTCAAAACAGAACAAATTTTCATTCACCAAAAGAGTACACACCTGCCACCGCCGCGGCTGCCGCTGCCGCCACCGCTACCGACACTCCGGCCGCCACTGCTCACGGTGGTCATGCTGCTGCTTCCGCCGCCGCCGCTGGTCCTGCTGCTATCACTATCGCTCGACCCAGCAAACCCCTTCCTCCACCAATCCGCCTCACCATTACCACTAGCCTTCAGCCCATCGACCTTCGGCGAAACCCTACCGTCGCCGTGATTTTTCACCACCGCCACCTTCCTCTTCGGACCCCTCGCCGAAAATGGAAACCCCGTGTTCAAAATCACCCCCCTGTTATCAAAACCCCCAATTTTTCCCTCGCCGCTGATTTTCCTCCTCTCCTCCGGCGAGGATCGAGTCGATCTCGCCGCGGCCCGCTGCTGCGGATCGACTCCCTGATTTTCCCCAACAGATCCATCTCCGTCGATTTCCCGATTGCTCTCAACGAGGTCCTTCAGCGAGAGCTCGTACGACGATTCCGGCATGTTCTTCACCATCTCCATCAGCTCCCATTGCCCCCGGGCGATGGCCTCCGTCCTGGAGTCCGACCGGAGACGGCGGTGGCGGCCGAGGAGGGGGCGGGATGGGCTCGGCCCGCCGTTCTTCCACAGCGGCGGGGAGTTCCCGCCGGAATCGTCGGCCTCCACGCCCGGTTCGAGCTGGAACTGCAGAGTTGGGTCGGGATGCCGGTCGGAGTGAGTGTCTCCGAGGGTTTTGCCGGCGAGTTTGGCGTCCGTGATGGCTAAATCCGCCATGAGTGGGATTTTAAGGAGTGGTCTGTTGAGTGTTTGTTTTGGTGGAATTTGATAGTTGGGGTTATTATATGGATACAAACATATTATGGTTTCTTTAGGTTTAATTTATCTTATTTTATTTTATTTATTATTTTATTTTATTTTGTTGTTATAATATTTTGAGTGTGAAAACGAGGGACAAGAAAATTTGAAAATATGAAAATGTCATCAATGTTTAATTGTGTGTGGTGACTTTCCTTTTAATGAATGACACACAACACAACGGTCTTGTTATTTCTATGCCATTTTTATTTTTATTTTCGTATCTTTTTGAACTTTTTTGATGAATTTTGGGCATGGGTGAAAAAAGTCAAGGGTTCTGGATGGATGTGTGGTGGGGCTTTAGGACTATAATTTCTCTCAATTTTGTTATGTTAGAGAAAAAAAAAAGGCAAAAACATCACAATTATCATGTACCTTGGTTCCATTTAACTATTTATTGCTTAAATCAAGTTGTTCTAACTTCTAACTATTATTTCAATTTCTTTTGCAAATTTATTTCAACTTTGTTTAATTTTGCTAATAGAAAATATGGGTTCTTCGACTCTTACAAATTGAACCACACAAGTCATAGAACCGACCACAATAGACTTACGTGTTTAACTCGTTGATTGTATATTTTAGCTTGCAAAAATTGAAAACTCACGACTTATAATACCAAAATTAAAACATTGAAATTGAATTTTAAATGGCTAAATTACGAGATCAACAAGTAACATTCATTTTGTAGACCGTATATTTTGATATACAAAAATAGAAAGTTTGTATCTTTTATTGCCAAAATTGATTTATTGAAATCAAATTGCAAAAATGATTTAATTTAAAATTTAACTTATTTATTATGTGAGTGAAAAAACTGGCTTGTATTAATTTGGTATAAATGAATCAAATCAGCTTGAGAAGATTGTACAATTAATAAGGAATGGTCGACATTGGTGACATTAATTGACAAATAAAGAAATTGTTAGGAATGTTTTAAATACTGAATTTTTGGGATACAATACGTTACTGAATATGTTGTACTAATATTTTATGTTCTTTGGGTAATCATGACTTTCCTTGAACTAAATTAACTTATATTATAGGACAGATGAAGAAAGCTAAGGCGGTAATCATGTTATATATACTAGTGCATGGCCCGTGCGATGCACGAACCAACAACATTACGATTGTATTATAAACTAAATATATAAGAAACATTAATCATGAGTTACCTATTATTTTTAAATTAAACTGGGTTGGACACAGTCCGACTGGATGGACCGAGAACCGATTTATAACCAGTCTAGTTCGCTTGAATAAAATATTTGCTATCGAATCCTTCAACACCGATCGGTTGAACTGGTAGGATCGATACAATTTTCTAAATAGATTTTGCTACATTTAAAATTATTTTAAATAAAATTACATATTTAAATAAAATAGAGATTTATAAACTTTTTATCAATTAGTTTAAACATTTGAATTTATAAATTGTTTAAATATTTAAGTAATTATAAAATATTAAAATGTTTATAAATTAAAGTCTAAACAAACCACAAATGATATAATAAAATAACTTTGATTGTTTTGATGAGGGTCCGATTTTAAAAAAATTATATTTACTGTATATTAATAAAATATTATTTTATTTACATAAATATTAATAAAATGATATATAAGTATCTATAAATTATTGAACATGTTGTCATAAAAGGATGGTATGATTTTCCAATTATGATCTCTGATTCTTTGTCCCAAAGAACAATAGTGGCATTTGCAATAGAGTCCGAGATAAGCAAATTCATCTTGTATCTATTAAAAAAAATAGCATGAAAAATTCATCAATTATGACAAAGAGAATGAAGTAAATCAAATTCTTCTTTAGAAAGACTCCTTATAAAAAAGGATATTCTATCTATTTCCAAGATAATAGTAAACAGTTATTTGAAATTTGAAATTAAAATTTGAAGATATCTGAATTTTTGGAATACTTCAAAAGAGTCCGAACTATGTGAAACTATGAAGTTGATTTGATATTGAATTCAAGATCTGTCGGAATTTGAAAAAAAATCCTTAATTTTAGGTTGTTCAATTATATAAAGATATGTGATTTGAATTTTTCCAATTCAAATTGTACATGAGTCATATTTTACATCTATTATATGCGATTATTTATTATTCGATTTTATGGCAATCGAGTGGCAAGGAATTTAGAATTTTAAATTATCAATTAAATATTGCATTCGATTTTATTTGCAATTAGTTTTTTTGAATAAAAAAGGAGAAGACATAAAGTTTATGCCTGATTTTATAATATGACCCATTTTTAATATTTAATTATATAAAGTAAGATATGATATATAATCTAAAGTAGATTATGTTTTGATCTAAAAACTCATATATTATGCGTGCCTGTAAATTAGATACACAATAACCGATTTTTTGGGAAGTCAATTAAAACATGAAATAAAAAAAAAAAAGCTAAAAAATAACCGATTGAAGGCCAACCGATTTTTTGGGAAGTAAATTAAAACATAAAATAAAAAATAGCTGAAAATAGTATGTAATTAATATGTGTTGACTTTTTCTTCTTACTATTTATGGTAAATAGTAAATCTTTTTATATATAGATAGATTTTACTCCTTTGATATATAATAATAAAAAAAAAATTGATTATGAACTAACACGCTGTAATTATTGCAATGGTTTTGTATAAGTAGACAAAGGTCATCTAAAGATGAGATTCTTAATTGCAATTTTTTTATTAATTAGGTTTTAAAATATCGTCAATGTTATAAATATTTGTATGGTATGGTGATTAAACCCACCATCACCAATATATATTATATTATAAAATAATGTATGTGAATGACTATTTTGTCCTTGATGTAATTGTATTATTACGATTATGTCATCAGAAGTTTTCCTATAAATAGGAGCTTCAGTTATAATGAAAAGACAACGAAAAGAAAGCATTCTCTATATTCTCTCTATTTCTCTCTTGTTTTATAACACGTTATCAACACGAGCGCTCTACCCGGTCAGAAAGGTAAGAATATATTTACTTATGAATTACTAATAATTGAAAAAAAAAATGACTTCATGTTATAATAAAAATACATAATATTATTACTTGTAATTAACACCCACAGAACGGTTTACCTAGTAGTGTGGAGTGAAATTTATAACTACTTATTATTGTATCGAGTAAGTGTACTCACCGAAAGAATTATCGAGTAAGTGTATTCGCCGAAAGAATTCTCGAGTAAGTGTACTCACCGAAAGAATTATCGAGTAAGTGTATTCACCGAAAGAATTATCGAGTAGTGTAGAGTGACATTTTTATTTGTTTTGTTACTTGTATTTACTAAAAATGTTCACCTAGTAACTCGGAGAAATTCTAAAATAATATGCATGATTAATTATAATTTTATAATCATGAATGATATAATTAATAAATATTATATCAATAAGTGTTTTTATAAAAATAAAAATAAAAATAAAATAAAAAATAAAAAAAATCCAACGGCTAATTTGCAACGGCTATTTATCAATCTATATATATAACACTTCACTTCATATATTAATACTCAAATATTAAAATATATTCTCCTCAATAAAAAAAAAATGTTTGATCTATAATTTATAATTACCATTATATTGGTTATTATATACGCTTTAGGAACTTTTACGATGTTGTATCATACTGCTGAGTTTATATTTTATGTATTAAATTTTTTTTCTAATGTGTTTCTTATTATCCGTTCTGATCGTTTTGAATAATGAATGATTGTATTTGTAATTTTCTTAAATCTAAGCATTAATGTTATATTTTGTGAAGATCGAGTTTGAGGCATTTGAAATCAATGAAAAAAAAATCACATTTCGTGGACATGTGAATATTTATGGATTGATCCTTGTGATATGAAATATGTAGTGCCAGAAGCACATGTAAAAAAAAAAAAAAAAAAAGAAAGAAAAAAGTATAATTTATCACATGAGATATATATGATAAAATTACCTCTTATATAAGACTATATATTTTCTTGATTTAATTGTTATAATTTATGAGCATATCTTGTTTGATATGTACCCTATTATTTTTAACATTAGTTGTTAATATTTGAAAGTGGTAACATGTATGATATGTCCAGTAGACATTATCTTCTATATAAAGATTTTTTTTTCAATGTTGGGGAAAAACTATTATATAAATTATGAAATATCTTTTAATTGTTATACTCCTGAAGAGTTATAAAATAAAAATGTCCACATATATATTATTATTTTGTTCATGCATCTGAAAACGAATGAAGCGTATATGGATAAATATTAAAATGTGACTTATATATATTGTTTGGAATATATATGGTGTAGATATCAAAATATGCAATTACAAAATGAATTTATTTTGGAAATTATAGTTGCATATTTTGTTTCGTTGTTTTATGGACTTGGTCCAAATTTATTGAGCCAAAATCAATTTGAATAGATTGAACTTTAGTCTAATTGACTAGTGAACCAAATTAATGGTATGCAACTTTTGTAGTTATTTTCTAATTATGTCATGAATTGCAGAGAAAATATCTTGTTGAATATTATGCCTAAAATTGAGTTTCCCTGAACGATTATATAATTAAAAGTATCACTAGTAAATTTGAATACAGAACTAGATTTGGTTATCCATGAATGATTGGTCTTATTGACCAGTATCATAATTGCATAAGAATTATTTAGTGAGTATCTTTGAAAGATTAATCTAGTAAATAATCTCGTTGAATTTTAAATAAATTCATTATATTTTGATTTTGGATCAGTTATGCATATTCAATATACTCTTAATAAAGGCATGTAACCAGAATTTATACAAAGTGCCCGAAGCACATAATATTGTTGATAGCTACAATAAAAAGCTCACAACTAACGTTCGATTATAGTGCCTGAACCATATGGTGTTCACTTAGAAATAAATTATTAT